ATACAGTAGAGCGTCGTTTATCCGAAAGCTGGTTATCCGAAACGTCTGTTATCCGAAAGCATTCCAGTCGGCAAATTTAAATTTTCGCTAGTGCTGTGGCGCTGCAATCTTCGGCTATTTCTCGGGCTACTCAAATATTTTACGTTTTTGATACTAAATTAACTTCTGAAGTATAATTTTTTATTCTTTTTATATTTTTCAATATATTTATTTTGTTTGTACAAAATAAAAAAATAATTTTTAACGATACAATAGTCTTTGTTAGGCTTAACATCGACGAAAATTCAACGCGAAGCGACACGCAACAGAGAAAAATTTCGACATCGGATAAGTTAAACTATTTTTTCGTACGTAATTGGTTATCCGAAATATCAGTTATCTGGACAACCCCAGTCCCCAATTGATTCGGAAAATCGACGCTTTACTGTATATTTATTTTGTTCGTACAAAATAAAAAAATAATTTTTAACGATACAATAGTCTTCGTTAGGCTTAACATCGAAGAAAATTCAACGCGAAGCGACACGCAACTGAGAAAAATGTCAAGATAAGATAAATTAATATATTTTTCGTGCATAATCTGTTATCCGAAACACCGATCTTCCGAACAACTCCAGTCCCCAATTGATTCGGATAATCGACGCTCTACTGTAATTATAAAAAGTTTGTATTTCAGATTTGGATTTGTATTCCTGTGTCTTTCTGTATCACCTTGTTAACATTGTACGGAATAATGAAGAAAGAAACTGAGTTTAGCAAGAAGGAAATGCCAAAATTTTCCACCTTATTTTGGATTATATTGAGAAACTTTTTTCGACAAGGTGGGTATTATTACACTGTACATGACGTCAATTTTCATAAACCGAATATTTCACAAAAATAATGTGTACAAGAATGGTAATAAAATGATTTTTGTAAGTAATGAATTATAATATAATTTTTAATACCGTGTAATAATAATTTTTGTTTTAAGTATGTTTACATTTGATATTTTATAAGTTCTTTCAGGGCATTTCTACGCCTGCTTAAATATGATACTTCCAAAAATTATGTATTTTTATTAAATAAAAAATCGATAGTTGGGTAAACTAAAATACGGTAGAGCGTCGATTATCCGAAAGTCAATTACCCGAAAGAATTTCAGTCGGCAAATTTAAATTTTCGCCAGTGCTGTGCTGTGGCGCTTCAATCTTTGGCTATGTCTTGGGCTACTCAAATATTTTACGTTTTTGATACTAAATTAACTTCTGAAGTATAATTTTTTATTTTGTTTATATAGTTTTCAATATATTTATTTTCTTCGTACAAAATAAAAAAATAATTTTTAATGATACAATAGTCTTCGTTCGGCTTAACATCGACGAAAATTCAACGCGAAGCGACACGCAACGGAAAAAATTTCAACATGGGATAGGTTAATATATTTTTTCGTATAATCGGTTATCCGAATCATCGATTTTTCCCCTGAACAACCCCATTCACGAATTGATTCGGATAATCGACGCTCTACTGTATTTTCATTTCTCTTGTAAAATTTTAACTGCTAATTTCTGTTTTCAAATATTTTTATTTTCCAGATACAGATGTGGATCGTTATTTTCTCATGACGTTTCGTATCCTAATTGGCTGTTGGATGCTGATTGCATTTGTCCTGACATCTGCATACGTCGGCACTTTGCCATCGTTCATGGTTAATCCTGGAACTGAAACCATTCCTCATACATTTCAAGAATTAGTTCAGTCAGTGAAAGCGGGACGATATAATATCACTTTCTTCTTTTCAAGCGATGAATGTCGTTATTTTGATCGATGTCCAGTGAACGTATGTATCATATATATATGTATGTATTTTTAAATACTGTATTCAAATATGTATTGAGGAAGGATCAAAACGGTTAATCAGAGTCGATGTCATAAATAAACTAGCAGAATCTAACATACAGAAATATTGTAGCTTTGAATACCTTATAAATGTAATTCACATTTGAAATGAGTATAATAATTAAATAATTATAATTAAATATGTTTCTATATAATTTTTTAAACCTTATAATGTGTCGTTATCGTACATTACTTTCTGTACAAAAATATTAAATCTGTCTATATATTTTAATTCAATTTTTTAATGACATGTTTGTAGGTTCTAATACCAAGGCCAAGAATGAAAAACGATATAATTGAAATCTTTTATGAAAATGTCAAGAAGTATGACGAGAGAGATCGAAAACCAATTAAAAAAGTAGTTAGTGGCACTCACGCCGTACTAGCGACAAGACAGGTAATTGAATCGAGCTTTACCAGACAAGAAAAACAAGAGGTCTTCATTTCAGAAGATATACTTTTTACGAAATTCCAGTACATAGAAATGGATTTAGCGAAAGTTAATTACGCTGTTGAAATCGCTAAAACGTAAGTATGAAAAATGTGTTTCTTATTAATCACAATTGGTAGATAATGCCACTGAACATTGGTAGTTACGGTCTGCTTGTGAAAAAAATCGACTAACGATTAACGTTAAACGTGACTTGTTTCATCTAAACAAATAATCACACTTTTTTTTTATGGTAATAGCGCTTTAGCTTAATGTACACTATATGGTAATACACGGTGTTTATTTTATTTTCTCCCACTACAACTTTTCTGTTGTGTTGATTGTTTATACCGTATGATAACTGTAAATAATTAATAATTCAACTGTGATTCTGCAAAAAAGTAAATACAGTAGAGCCTCGATTATCCGACTCAATTGGGGACTGGGGTTGGTCGGATAATTAAAAAGTCGGATTAACCGAAAAGTATGAAAAAATCCATTATTAGTGTAGTATATTATTATATCCCATGTAATTAGTATATTAGTATATCGCTATTAACCTACTTCGTGTTGAATTTTCATCGATGTTAAGCCTAACAAAAATTTTTTAAAATAATAATCGTCGCTATTGTATCGTTAAAAATTAGAAAATTAAGCCTCGTTTAAATACTGGCTCTCTTTCATGGTCAAATGAGTGGTGCCAGCTAAAACACGTAAAAATAATATCAAAGTAGCCAAGACATAGCCAAATATTGTAGCGCCACATCACTAGCGGACATTTGAAATTTGCCGACTAGGATGGTCGGTTAACCGAGGTGTCGGTTAATCGGGGGTCAGATAATCGAGGCTCTACTGTACCACTATAATATGAATAATATATTGTAGGTCTACACAAGTATGGTTTTTTCCAATTCTCATTTGCAATTCGTGCATATAACATGAAAGAAGAAACATAAAATTTGTGTTGTTTCTATAATCACATCAGTTTATATTAGAAGTTTGCAAGAGCCGCATAATGAAACTATTTAGGTTGCTTACATTTAAATAGCCAAAGACAAATGTAGAATTAAAACCAAGTAGCGAGTTATTTCAGCTAACACCCTAATGCACTCTGATAGATTTATTAGGTCATGCTATAAATTATTTTAAATAAGACTACGTTTATAGACATAATACGTATCCATTATATAATGCTACATGTTTAAATTTTATATATATTTTTTTCTGCGTTTGTTCTAATCAATGCACACCTGTTTCATTTTTTAAATATTTATCAGTAATCTAAAACTTCGAATATAACAAAAAAACACCGTTTTTAAAGATAGCTATTGTTACTGTGTCGCGGGTGAACTAACCTAGGCTTGTTTTGTTTATAGGTTAAGAAAGTTTTGTCAAGGTTCTACACTCATTTTCAAGGTAAGGTGACAAATAAAATAATACACTAAGAAACAATGAATTCTGTGCACAAAAACAAAACTACAGTAAACAGGAATACAAGAAACATAAATACCGATTTTATCAGAACGAAAATGCAGAAACAGATCACATTAGAATAAAGTGTATGCCAGATTAGCACACGTGTATTGAATTTATAGAGTCATTGTTTATTTTTGCACAATATAACTTAAATTAGCAAAAAGAAATTAAGAATTCAAAATTTGCTAGTAACATATTAATTAATAACATGACATGCAATATGTTTCTTCATTGCACTTCCTGATCCAATTCGTATAATTGCAATGGTAACAATATACAATCACTAGCAAAATTAAGTAGAAATTTTTTCACTGCTACAAATATAAAATGGGGGTTTTAGTTTTTAGCAGTATCACGTAATAAAACTAGAATTTGCAGTGATCATGGAGGAACACGCTAGATGTTTAATGCGATTCAAATGTGTTATGTAATCATACTTTCGAACCACAGGAAATTATCAGTTTTATGGTGGAATCGATCTTGTATTAGAGGCTTCTTATTTATTTCACTATGCCAAACGTTACAGGACATCCTTTCAGTGAAAGCACAATAAAAAATATTTTATATAAGACTTAATTTTTTACGTGTAAGAAAAGTTTTCAAAAGACTCGTTATTGTATAGTCTTAAACTGTATAATAACTAGGAATTTTATCATTTTCGAGTTTGTTTTGTGACGAAAATACCCAACAAATCTTCTGCTTTTCCTTGTTTTTTTTTTGTTTAATGCTTTCATTCAATAAGCAATGTAAATGAAGAGTACATCAAATTTAACAATTTCATTGGCAAAATAGTATTTGAATAATTTAAGTAACTAAAATATCTATTATATAAGTCAAGTAACTTACTCAATATATAAAGAAGTTTAATAGTATATATTTATATTTAATAGGGTAAATCTTATTGAACAAAGTGGATTACCTGAGACAATTCACAGAAACATTNTTCTCCCTCTACAACTTTTCTGTTGTGTTGATTGTTTATAGCATATAATAACTGTAAATAATTAATTAATTCAATTGTGATTCTGCAAAAAAAGTAAATACAGTGGAGCCTCGATTATCCGACTCAATTGGGGACTGGGATTGGTCGGTTAATTGAAAAGTCGGATAACCGAAAAGTATGAAAAAATCCATTATAAGTGTAGTATATTATTATATCCCATGTAATTTGTATATTAGTATATTAGTATATCGCTATTAACCTACTTCGCGTTGAATTTTCATCCATGTTAAACCTAACAAAAATTTTTTAAAATAATAATCGTCGCTATTGTATCGTTAAAAATTAGAAAATTAAGCCTGGTTTAAATACTGGCTCCTTTTCATGGTCGAATGAGTGTTGCCAGCTAAAACACGTAAAAACAATATTAAAGTAGCCAAGACATAGCCAAATATTATAGCGCCACATTACTAGCGAACATTTGAAATTTTCCGACTAGGACGGTCGGTTAACCGAGGTGTCGGTTAATCGGAGGTTCGGATAATCGAGGATCTACTGTATAGAAAGTGAAAAATTTGAATTTGTTGTTTACTACAAATTGTTTATTGCTTAACAAACTAAGTATATAATTTATAACAATCGTATGAATAGGATTTATCAAGAATACTCTTTTACAGGGTAATATGATCTGCTAATTTCTGTTTTCAAATATTTTTATTTTCCAGATACAGATGTGGATCGTTATTTTCTCATGACGTTTCGTATCCTAATTGGCTGTTGGATCCTGATTGCATTTGTCCTGACATCTGCATATGTCGGCACTTTGCCATCGTTCATGGTTAATCCTGGAACTGAAACCATTCCTCAAACATTCCAAGAATTGATTCAGTCAGTGAAAGCGGAACGATATAATATCACTTTCTTCTTTTCAAGCGATGAATGTCGTTATTTTGATCGATGTCCAGTGAACGTATGTATCATTTTATTAAAGATTATACAGTTTTAGTTATTACCAATACAGTAGACTCTCGAAAACTCGGCACTCGATAACCCGGCACTCCGGATAACTCGGCCACACCCTGGCAGGTCAAAAAAATCCTTAGTTAATTAATTTTCATTATAGACAGCTTTATAAAAGTATAAAAGCTCTCATAAAGTATTTTTCTGAGGTCTGTCTTATCAGGTAAATTACTGTACACAGTGTATTCATTAATTTTCATTTTCATGTAGTAAAGGCTCTATGCCTTCATAAAGGA